GTATTAATAATATGTTGCACCTACCCCCAAACAATGCTGCAACTGTCCCCGGCCCTGGGGTCAGTTGCAACATCTGACTTTTCATTTTCAAATGCAAATTGTGAAGAATGTACATGCTTTAATCATCCATAAATGGTTTTGACTATTAACAGACCCATGTAAGTTTATTGTATTAAAATTTGGTTTGTTTAATTCAAACCATCTCTGAGTAACAGAGTCAAATGCAAAAAGTGTTGCAACTGTCCCCGGTCTCCCCTACAAGCTAAAAATGGCAGCATGCTAGCTGAAAGTTAAGTGACAAAAGTCTATCCATGAGCTAAAAGCTAAACGTAAAAGTTAAAAGTGGCACTTGATGATAAAAATAGAGCAAGTATGGCGAAGCAGTTTTCAAAGAAAACAAGTTTGTTTTATTGAAATAGAAATAAAGTTTATGGGGAAATATTTAAAGGTGAATAATTTGTTATAAAAGTTTCAAACAGTAAAAGCCATAGCATCTATCTGAAAGTTCTGATTCCTGAATTGCTAAACTAACACAAAATCTGTTGTTGTTAAAAAGAAAAAAAATGTACAAAAGAATGAAGAAAACAAGAAAATACTTGTGAGAATGCTGTCTCCGCATTCACAAAATACAATCATTTTTATTATTCAACAAGTAATATTTAGATATACAACACTTTTTTCCTGCAGGGTCTAAATGGAACAGATGAGGAGCTAAATTAACGAGTCCTGATTGGAGATTTCTGTTGAGTGCATATTTTTTTTTAGGATGCCAAGACCTCCCAATCTGTCACTGCAAATCATGCAGGGATGTATAAAAGGGTCTCCACGGTCGGTGGTACGTAGGACATGCATGTGTCCATGACGCAGTCGGCTGGCAGAACACTGCACTGCTTGCCCACGGCAGTGCGTAAGTGTCTGAGCTGTCTTGTAGCTGACAAACATACTGTACCAGTGTGAACATGCAAGCTGCCACATGGAGCACTGTGAATAGTGCGTACCCATCTTCTCCTGTCTATCATTCATCATCTCCTACAATAGCTCGGAGCGCTGAGCAGCATCAACACGCCGCTCAGTTTATCTGTGTTATTCTAGTGGCAAATATTTCCCAGCTACAGCGATGGGAGAAGATGAGGCTTTTGGATTGCTGTGATATGCGGTTGCAGTGACCATTATCCACACACTTAAAGACTGGAGAGGTATTGAACTCTGGCTACTGATGGAATTTCTGCAATYGTGGATTTGTGAGCTCAAATTCACATTTGCATACAGAAAACGGTGCTCGATGTATCCACAACACGCTGTAGGTTTGTCAGCTGGACCGAATATGTTCTTAACAAAAGGCTTGATGGAAACAAAAGACATACATCATTGCTTTTTTTGTTCCTACTGAGTGACATTAATGGGTTTTTGTTTCTCTTATGCAAAATACCTGAAGCCATTAAGTGATTTCCAGGTCGAGCAGTGAGAACCATGCTCCCTGAGAATCACTGCAAATGGTGGCACATCAAACCCATTAAATCCTTGCCAAGGATTTACTAATGCAAATATGTTAACAGTATAACTGTTGCAAAGGGGTGTTTATCCTGTGTGACTAATGTATTTCATACGTAACCAGGAAGAAACTCATGAACAGACGCAACTTCCCTTCTTCACTGTCTCGTATCGCACTGTCCTTGCTTCATCTACCAAAGGAATACTTTAACTCAGAGTTAAATTTCCTAAAAATAGTAGGTGTTTATTACTTCTAAAAATAGTTTCCCCCTCCAGTTAGCAAACACAAGTTTATTAGTATTGTTTGATGCACACTTAAAGGCTAATAGCTAAAGCACATCGTCCTCCTCAGAGTCAAGCCCATCCAGAACCGTGCTGCAGTTAAATGTCTGAAGTCTACCTGAAGAGGGATAAGTGCAGCTCCTGTTGTCTGTGAAGGGCCCAGCATCCTTTTATATGCACGCTTGAACTCCAAAACAATCCTTCCTCTACAACAATAATCCAATAATGACTTTCAGAATGTAGRAAAAAATGAATTTATTTGCTTGTATGAAAGATCATGGCAGTTTTAGTGGTTCAAGCTTCAGGTATCAGGTCACCTCAAGTGCCCATTAATAATCACAGTCCTACTTGAGACAGTCTATATGGCTACACAGTCTCGTTCGCATGTGGATTGATCCATTGTAGGGTAATCACCGCATAATTTTATGCGCACCTTTGAAATGTGCACCCGGGCACGTCATGGTCCTTGTGGGGTGGGCTCGGTAATCAAGGTGCATAATCGCATGGCGGTAATGGCAATCAGGCTTTAGCAGATTAATTCCTCAGATCACACATCAGCCCCGTCAGCCCCTGTATCTGATCATGAAGAAGGGTGTAGGTGGTCTGGAGAGTGCAGGTGATTAAAAAGAAGAGAACCACTGCAGCCAGAAAGTGCTCGTTATGCAAACATTTTAAAGTACCTAAATCTT